ACATGTCCTGCTGTCCTCATACATGTCCTGCTGTCCTCATACATGTCTTCCTGTCAGATGCTTTTTCTAAACCCACAAAGACACAGTGGAGTTCTTTCCGACCCTCTCTGTTCTTCTCCATCATCCTCCTCAGATCAAAGATGGATGTGAGGAGCTCTTCCTCAACATGAAACCAAACTGCTGCTCAGTCTCCTCTCGTCTAAGTCCAACTTCCACAACTCTCTCCAGATCTTCATCGTGTGGCTCGTCAACTTAATTCCCCGGTAGCTGCTACAACTGAACATCACCTTGTTCTTAAACATGGCCACCAGAGCAAACACACAGCGTCTCCATCAGTTTCACAGATGTTGAAGTAAAGTGGTAGTAGCTGAGAGTCATCTCGACAGACTGAGGGCTGTTTGAACACCGACTGAATCTGAGCTGCTGCTGTGAATAAAATATTCAAACATCTGAAGCTCCGTTCTACAAACTTCTGGTTCCACGTGGATCTGGGTCAGTCTGAGCAGAACTGGGTGACCCAGTTGGAGCAGATAACGGGGCTCACAGAGGGAAGAGGAGCCCCCGTCAGAACCTGAATCCCTCTGGACCCAAACGTCCAGCCGGGCCGGATCATCAACCCAAAAACCTCCTGGCAAAAAGAAGTTGCAGGTTCAACGCCTCCAACTGGAACTGAAGTTTTTAACGACAAACCTCAGGACGTGACGATGAGCTCCGTTACACGTTACAGTTCTGAGTCTTTACGGGTTTCACTGAGAGCGTCAATAATTATATCAGTAAAAAATATTCAACCACTTCTTCAGAGGCCGTTGGGCAGGAAGACATCCTGAGGACCACAACACCAAGCAGGAAAGACATCAGCAATGAACGAGCAGGTCCAACAGCAAACACCTCAACCCAGCGATCCGCTGTACTCGAGTACTTTGATTCATTTCTGGACGATCAAAGGATTTGAATTAGTTTTACTTGTTTAAAAACATTTTGAAGCTCTGAGTTCAGTCGGACAGAAACTTGTGGAGAACTTGAAATGTTGGTGGCGACTCCTCACAGGTCTGGGTCGGACCCGTCAGTTTCCAGCCCGAGCCTCCGAAATTAAAAAGTTCTGCTCCTGAATTATTGTTCAAATATTCAGCTTTTGTTCTGCTGAAGGTTCAAACAGCAGCAGGTTCAACAAATCCAGACGTTCTGCATCAACTCATTAACTAACTGGACCCAGGAGTTCTGACGCTGACCCTGTGGGCGATCATGTAAAACCAGAGGACCAGTTAAAGACTGGAAGGAAACTCTGCAAACACACGCTTCACCCTCGTTAAAGTAAATTAATAAAACAGCTGAACGTTGTACATTTAGATAAAGCCACACTGCTGTAATCTAAAAACAGAGGCAGAAATAACGAGGTGAGTGCACGACCCACATGAAAAACAAAAAAAGACGAGTGCAACGGGGAAAAGAATGAAACTTCTGAAGGACTCGAGACTTTGAAGGAGCTAAAATCAAGTGCCGGGCCGACCATTTTTAACCACAAGGCGCCTAAACTCCACCGCCGGCTAGCGAGAGAAAGATGCTGGGAAATGATCAGAGACGGGAAACGCTGAATGTCAAATCACGGATCCAACACCAGACCTAAGACCAGACCCTGCAGGTGCAACCAGACCAGAGACACCGAGCACGTCACCTACTCACCGGATCGCACCGTCCGACCAGCGCTACGTGATCATCCATCGTTTCATTTACGAAGCTGAAGTTTGCTTCTGGAAATGGCTAAAGGGCGATTCCGCCTAATTTTTCATTAGTGACCAAAATGATCATGGATTAAAAATTAAAACATTTAAAATGATTCAAAATGCCTTTTGTTGCAGTGAGAGGAGCTTCTCATGCAACTGAGCAGAAATAGACGTTCAAATGTCTAGAATTAAAAAAACTGTTCAATAATGTTCACAAAGTTGAAGTTTTTCATTTTTAATAGACTTGTTTTATTGTGGAGAGCCATAACACACACACACACACACACACACCACACACACACACACACACACACACACCCACACACACACACACACTTGCCTATTTTGACTTTTAATTCTGCTCAAATTATTCAAAGTGTTGAAATCGATTTTACTGAAGTTTCACTAATCAGATAAAATTGTAACCAATCACGGAGTAGATTTTAATTATTCTGCTATTAGTGTAGAATAATCTAGTCCAGGTTTAGTATTTTAGTCTTTAAACTAAAACAGATTAAAGACGCTCGTGTTAGTGAAAAATTAGGTGGAATCGCCCTTTAGCCATTTCCAGAATCAGAAACTTCAATCATAAACCAACTTCAGCTTCATGTTAATTATTATTAATATTATTTCACAACCTTAAGATAGAAATAGTGTCTGTATATCAATAATACAACAATCTTTATTACAGTCGCCTTCAACTACAAACACTGAAAGACAAACCGTTGTCATCAGATGCAGCAGTACAGTCACCAGATTAATGTCATTTATCCTGCAACGATGGACACATTTATTCAGACAGGACACTGGAAAATCCAGATGTTTCAGCCCTTCTTCATTTCCCCTTGTGAGTTCTACATCGACATCAATTTCAACGCACTCCGGTTCATGGAGTAAAGTTACTCAGCTGTTTTGGCTGGACGGAACCAGAACTACAGGACCTAGATTACATCATTTACCCAGAATGCATTGAAGCGCAAACAACATGGCGACGTCCGTGTGACAATATTTTATTCAACTTTATAAAAATCAAACAGCCTACAATATTTTACTGTATTGTTTTAACATCTAAAATAAACATTTCTCAAATAAAGTCTGTTGCAACTAATCGTGGATCCATTTAAATAAATTCAGAAATGAACTGGGAGCCAGTGGAGGGAGGCCAGAACTGGAGTAATGTGCTCCCTGCTGCCTGGACCAGCAGTAAATGTGCAATAAAGGTTTGATTCCAAACACAAGAGCGCGGCGGTTATCCAGCCTGGACGTTATGAAGCGCGTTACCGTCTCAACGTCACTTTGACACTATGGGCTTCAGATTAGACCCACGCCGCAACTGAAAACAAACAAACAAAAGCAGGATTCAACCATGGTGTTTACACGAGTTAGTTTCATGGAAGGGTCCACTTTCACTCCCAGATTAATGACAACTTGTGTCTCTAACGGGGCTAGAGAGGAAAGGTCGATACAGTGCTTCTTCATTGTTCCATTAGGTGGAAACAACATGACTTCTGTGCTCTTCTCATTAACGTTTAATCCCTGATTGCACACACACACACACACACACACCATCACACACACACACACACACATACACATAACAGAGCACTTCACTCTCAGACTGCAGGTTTACTTGTGGTTCCTAGAGTTTACAAAAACAGAATGGGAGGCAGATCTTTCAGTTCTCAGGCTCCTCTCTTGTGGAACCAACTTCCAGTTTCTGTCCGTGAGGCTGACACATTGTCCAGTTTGAAGACTGGGATGAAGACTTTCCTTTTTGCTAAATCCGATAGTTAG